ATATAGTATTTATAAGTTTCATGTATGAACTATCTGCTGCCTAAAATTATTATGTTCTGACTTGCAGATACTCTGATTGATATAAGCAAGATCACATCTATTCAGCATCAGAACTTGATTTCAGACACCAGCATCAGAAGTTGCCATATCAGAATGTCAGAATCAGATGATCAACTCACGTACATGCTGAAGCCTGATGAACAAGACTGCGCTCAACACTCTGATAAAGAAACACAACAGTTCATCAGCAGCGAAGCAGAGTCAGAATGAGCCAAGCCAGAACTTGCATTAAGTAAGCAACGGTACTGTGCATTGAAAGCAAATTAATTCCAACGGCCTCATTCCAGACAAGATCTGCTCAATAAGGAAAGCTTGTTATTAGCATTGAATCAAGAATATTGCATCCAACGTTCATCATCTCAGTGCTATATAAACAAGGCTTTGAAGATTGAAATGACTAATGCTCTCCAAATCTCTACACGCACAAAAGCTCATTATAATCTTATCTCTCAGTTTTGCTAAACCACTAACTCTGATATTCTATCATTGTTTAGCAATCTAGTTTCTAAGCTTCAATTTGTGTATACATCACAGTTGTGATAAAGTTTTGTAGAAAACATTCACACACTTAGTTTTATCTCTTTGTAAGAAAGTGTTACCTTGACAAACCGGGTTGTGGTTTGGATCAAGAAGGCTTTAGCAGTTGTTAAAGCAGTCTGTAATATTCAGTTGAATATAGTGGATTAAGACCTCGTTGGAGAGAGGCGAAATCACCTTGACGGGTGGACTGGAGTAGTTTGAGGTCAAACGAACCAGGATAAAAATATCTTGTTCATTGCATTAGATCTCTGTTTTACAATTCAACCCCCCCTTCTTGTGTTTTTCACCACTTCATTATGTTGAACCTTCATGCACCAATATGGTTAAAGTCTCAGAAGACTTTGTCAACAAACCTGTTTTTGGCAGTTTCACTGAGGACATTAGCAGAAAAGTTGTCGAAGAGGTACAAAGAAAGGTTGCTGAAAGCCTAAACAAGGGAGCTACTGAAGGCTCAAATAAAGGAACTACTGAAGGTTCCCACTTGGCTCCTATCGCAGGTTCGACAGAAAGCTTAGAGGCCAAGATGCAGAAGCTAAGTGTAGATGTCATCTTAGATCGAGATTAGAATCATATTTGTCAATATCAATTCAATCTATGAAATAAACGGTAAAACAAAGATAACATCAACAATGATTCAAATGTAAATTACACATAACACCATGATCAAAGAAAATACATATTGTTTTGGTGAACTACGACTAATCCCAACAAGAGAGGGATTTAGCTACTCATGGTAGCTTGATAAATAATGAAAGATTTAAGTTGAAACGACATCAACGAAGATTTCCCGACTCTTGATGCGTATATAACCCTTCTTCCTAAAACCTCTTATATTCCTACTTCTATTACAACAATATAGTATGTTACAAGATAAACATTGAATGAATCAAACTAAACTGAGTTATGTCCTATTTATAGCAGTTCTGGCCGCCTGAGTTTGCTAAGTGAACTATACTTCGCTAAGTGAAGTCTTGCTTCTTCATTAAGTTTTCAAATCAACTTGTCTTCAGGAAACCGCCAAAGTTCGCTAGCAGAGTGTGATTCGCTTAGGGAAGTTGCTTTCTTCAGCCTTAAGTTATTTCAAAATATCTTTCTCTGGCCGCTCTTATTCGCTAAGCAGAGGCCCGAGTCGCTAAGCAAACTTGCTTCGTTGTTACTTGCTACTGGAAAAACTGGTTGATTTGCTTCTGTCTCCACTTCACTGGATGTTTGCTAAGCGAAATTTTTGCTGCAACTTTCGCTTAGCGAAGTGTTTGTTTTCTGGTTTTTCTTTAAGGGCCATAACCTGCACAAATACAAACCAAACCCAAGTAAACTTGTACGACCCACTTTTATTCAATAATCGGGGCTTTTTAGGTAAGAAACTTGTCATGTAAGTAAGATAAATGCTATATTACAATGTGATATTTTCCATGAATCAAGCATTCATCAACCACGTACTATAAAAATCTCATCTATGTGTCGACACATACATGTACAGGTCGACATATATTTTTAAAGTCTGTAGTTTATGTTTCTATGTATCGACACGTGACCTTGAACAGGTCGACGCATGCATCAACATGAGTCGACACATGACTTATATGTATCGACACATGCTGTAACTTTTCTGAAAAATTACATTCTTTTTAATTTCTAGGTTTCCTTTTTACCTCCAACTTGCACACATATAAATACTTCATACACACATGATTTCAAATTTGATGAAACTATAAATACATATAAATATTTCTCTTCATGTTCAACCTTCCATCTATGCATACACACAAACTACACATAATCATTTTTTGTTTGGTGCCATCTAGACAAGTGTTGATAACGTCCAATTTATGTTGGTGTACCAGTAAATTGGGTTGAGAATCTTTGGAGGTTTCATTGGGAAAAACCTTAGGGTTTTCCCTCCAAGATCATAGTGTTCATTTGGGGTCTTATACAAGATTTCATAAATATTAAATTTGATCGAGTGAAAGCTTTGAAGAACGGTAGGTTCTATCAAAGGAGTAGTGTGAGACGGTGAATCGTTTAGGAATCTTGGAATATGATAATACATAATTAGATTTGATCGAGTGAAAGCTTTGAAGAACGAAGGTTATTGCAAAGGAGTAGCGTGAGACGATGAATCGATTGGTGTTATCGGAATACTTAGTCGAGCTCAAGATCAAGGGAAGGGAAAGATTTAGAATCAACATCAAATATTGGGTTTGTAGGGTTGCATTGCTACATTTCTCGTGTAATCGACTTTTTGTAAAGTAAGATTGATATCCCAATTCCTTTTGGAATTAGGAGCAGACGTAGTCATAACGAGGACGATTGGTGAAATTCCTAAATAAATCCTCGTGTTCTCTCTCTCTCTCTCATTTCTTTTCTATAGAAAATTGTTAAATTCATTGATTGTGTAATCGATAAGTATAGAAAAATCATTTTATTGTTAAACTTGAAATTGCTTTGTTGATTACATTACAATCAATTAGATTGTAAGTGATATTTCATATCAACTAAGTCAAAAGGAAAATCTGAAAAATCGATTGCACACCAAGTGTTCGATAATTTGCTAGGTTTAGTTTTTATCAATAATTTCATTGGAAATAGGTTAACATTATGATCATAGTAAAATAATTTATTGAGAAATTATTGTATTAGTTCTTATCATTGTCTTGTATTCTATTCAATATATTACGCATATTAGAGTTTCCAATAATCGACTCGAATTAGACGACTTGTTTGATCTAGGCTAAAACTTTCGCTTACCATAGTTTTTCATTCACTTTTAAAACAATATTTTTTAAAAGGTATTTTTATTTTGGGGATCTATTTCTTAGGGAGTCGTGGTATGACTCTTTCCCACATAACTACTTGAAGATAACAATGTTATACACATCACTTGTCCTTGGGCAAGCACCTTCTATCATGTATGGGAGTCGCCTGGGAGGCATCACTCCAAGCGGAGACCATGAAGTCGCCCTTGTTTGAGACTCTTACAAATATAACACTACAAATTCACTTGTCTAAAATCCAAAATTTTCTATCTAAATTTGATTCGAGTCAAGCAAGTCTATGATTTGAATCAAATGTTTGTGATTCAAGTCATGTATAGTCGTGATTCGAATCAGACTGGCAGAAGCAAAATCTTATTTTCCAGAAATTTGTTTGATTCGAGTTAGAAAATATTTGTAATTTGAATTAGGAAAAATTATAATCATTGTATTTGCACAAAGTTTGAATTGGGTTATGACTTTTTGTAATTCAAATCACAATTCAAAAACTTTAATTTTTATTTTATCATAATGAAATGTTATTCTGAATCGAAACTTGGCATGACTTAAACTGTTCTTAATTGTGATTCTTGACTCAATTTTTTCACTATTTGACCAGAAACATATTGTTAGGACTATAAACAAATAGTTTGATTTATGTATGTGGAAAATTGATTAAAAATTCAATCCTAAGATGCACAATCAAGTGAGGAGACTCAATAATGACAAACAAAAAATCAAAAGCTAAATTAACAAGCAACAAAACATACGAATAAACTCCATGAGACAAATGCAATTTTAGAACCTTATTATAAAAACACTTATCTCATAGATAAATATTCTCATATCTTGACTTGTCTTTGTCTCTTCGTCATGACTGTTTCGTTAAATATTTAAGACTTTTTATTATCTATATCCTTCGTCTAATCAATTCTTTATGAAAGAATTAATTATTGATTAAATAGAAGAACAATTTTATTCTATGTATGTAATGTTATAAACACATGATAATTTTTTTTTATTTTAAAATTAAGAGATGGATTGACTTGGAGGAACTACGTTGCCTAACTTTATCACATTGGAGACTAAATTGATGCCCCTATAATACATTTCCAGTCAAAATTTTCCATAAATCCTTGTATTTTATAGGATTATAATTGAGATATTTAATTTTAATAATAACTCGAGTACCAAGTCTACATCTACTCTAAACATATCAAAAAATATATTTAATTCATAGATCAAATAATTATCAAACTTTGATTAATATCCAAATCAACTTTTAAAAGCATTAATTATTGACATGTCTATACAGAGCCTTTATAAACACCTTCCATGAACCTTCTCGGTCACAGAAAAATTCCGCGTAATATATAAAAACAGATAACACCACTTCTTCTCCAACCTTCCGCCGTTTACCACTCTCATCACTTCCATCTTCTGTTGACCACAAAAAAAGAACTGTACTATTTTCTCTATTCATTTTCAGTTTATATTTATTTGTTTTGTTCCTCTTTTGTTTTTTTTTTGTTGTACCTTTGTTCAAACAAATCATTACCTCAATTACTAGATCTGTTCCTCTTTTCTCTCAAAATATTCACCTAGATCTCTGTTTCTTGTTCAGATTCTATTCCTCGAAAAATCAACATGTTTTCTGCTGATACCCTTGTTGAGAATTTTCCTGGTTCTGTTAATCGATGTATGTTCGGAAACATTCCCGTGTCTGTTTTTTCAAACCAGAATCCTGAAAATGGTTTCGACTTTGAAGATTCTGTTTCAGTTTCTATATCTCCTTCAACTCATTCAGAATCTGTTACTGATTCTGTTCCATCTTCTGGTATAAGTTCAAATGGTGAGTCTTCTGAGAGTACTAAGTATTCGAATCCAATACTTAGATACATAAGTGATATACTCATGGATGAAGAAGATGATTTGGAGAAGAAACCATGTATGTTGCAGGATTGTTTGAAACTCCAAGCTGCTGAAAAATCTTTTTATGATGTTTTAGGTAATGATTTGGGTGCAGGAACTGGAAATGGAACTAGTACTTGTTCTGAGAGCTATAGTAATTGCAGTTACACCACTGATAATTCTATAGTTGATTGTGATTCACCGGAAAATAATGCGTGTGAGGTGTTTGATAGAATACCTCATGATCCGTTTAGAGAGGTAGAAGCTGTTTTCAGTTTTCCAAATGGGGCTTGGAAGATGAATGAAGAGAGTAATAATAATAATATGGTTTTGGGTCCTAGAGGGTCAAGGGAAAAGAGAGGACATTTGATGAATGATATTGGTATAGATGAGAGAAGTTACAAGGTTTCAGCTGTTTATTCTGATGATTCAGATCTATCAGAGATGTTTGATGAGGTACTTCTTTGTAATGATGGTAAAAGTCCATCCATTTTTTGTTCTAATCCTGAACAATCACATTCACGGGGATCTAATAGGAAAGCATCACGTTCCAAGAAAGGTTCAAACAAGGGTAAAAGTCTAAGTACTACGGTAGATTTATGGGCTTTATTAACTCAATGTGCACAAGCTGTTGGTAGCTATGATCAAAGGAATGCTAATGACATACTCAAGCAGATTAGGCAGAACTCTTCACCTCAAGGTGATGGACTTCAGCGTTTGGCTCATTACTTTGCTGATGGGCTGGAGGCGCGGTTATCTGCTGGTACGCCAATGTATAAACTCCTTGAGTCGTCTTCTGCAGATATGTTAAGAGCTTATAAAGTTTACATCACAGCGTCTCCATTTCAAAGGATGTCGAATTTCTTGGCCAACAGAACTATTCTGAATCTGGTGGAAAACAAAAGCAGCGTTCACATTATTGACTTTGGGATTTTCTATGGCTTTCAGTGGCCTTGTCTCATTCAGCGTCTTTCGGAAAGAGCCGGTGGGCCTCCGAAGCTTCGTATTACAGGAATTGATCTTCCTCAGCCAGGATTTAGGCCTGCAGAGAGGGTTGAGGAGACGGGTCGGCGACTTGAGAAGTACTGCAAGAGGTTCAACGTTCCATTTGAGTACAACTGCCTTGCACAGAAATGGGACACTGTAAGACTTGAAGATCTCAAGATTGATAGAGAAGAAGTGACAGTGGTTAACTGTTTATACAGAATGAAGAACCTCTATGATGAAACGGTGACCACAAATTGTCCGAGAGATGATGTGTTGAGGTTGATCAGGAGGATTAATCCAAGCATCTTCATACATGGTGTAGTGAATGGAACTTATAATGCACCATTTTTTCTGACTAGGTTCAGGGAAGCAATGTTTCATTTCTCATCATTGTTTGATATGCTCGAAGCTACTGTGCCACGTGATGATCCATATAGGTTGATGTTTGAGAAAGGGTTATATGGAAGGGATGCAGTAAATGTGATAGCTTGTGAGGGGGCAGAGAGGGTTGAAAGGCCAGAGACTTACAAGAATTGGCAGGTTAGGAATAAGAGAGCAAGATTCAAGCAACTTCCATTGGCTCCTAAACTGGTGGACAGAGTGAAAGAAATGGTGAAGAAGGAATATCCAAAAGATTTTGTAGTTGATGAAGATGGAAAGTGGGTTCTGCACGGTTGGAAAGGACGCATTCTGCAAGCTGTTTCTTGTTGGGTTCCTGCTTAAACTCATTGCCAAACAAGTCATAGCCTATGAAGCACGGGCACCAGATCTTGTCCGACTCCCAACACTGGTAGTAGTTCAAAAAAATAGAAGTAAATGCGACCATGTGTCAGTGGCGCGCGGGTGTTGAACCATACACATGTTGGCAGAGGTGATGCCTTGGTGCTAGAGTTATAAGCCCGGAGCACAGTCCTCTCTAGGAATTTTCTTTCTTCTTTTCATTCCTAATTTGTGTGCGAACTATAAACTGTAAGTACCAAGGGTATATTGATGATCTCTGATTTAAGTAGGTTTAAATCATCATAATATACTTCAGATAGAATTAAGGTTGGAGATGTTCTTACTGTGCACTTTATATACAAGTTTATATCAGTTTATGCAATTGCTAGTTGGGTTACACGTGTAAGTTGATCGTCTAGGGTTCAACTCTGGCGGCGGCATTTATTTGTATTTTCTTTCTAACAACTTTTTCAAAAAAAATATACAAGTTTATATCAGTTTATGAATTGCCAGTAATGCAAGATTAATTTCTTGGCATTTACGTATGAGGTGCATCTGGCTAAAACTAGAATAGTCAAACATTGAAAAGTAGTAGAAGACACGGATTCTACTCAAGTCACTGATTGAATAACGGTGTAATTATATAGGTGCACGTTCTCCCATAACTGATTGGATAACGGTGTAATTATGTAGGTGCACCGGCTGGACAAATTTTAACCGTCCCTGATCAGTTGTTTTCTTTGGTAAAGTGTCGGATTGATGGTTGCTTAATTTAAATAGTATTTAATTACTTCAGTTAGATTCTGATAATTATTTTAAATCCGTTAAAAATCAAAAGTGATTGAACTTAAATAATACTTATTTTATTTGTTTTTATTATTATATGACATTTCATTATAAAAATGAGATTTATAATTAAGAGTCTATTATTATTTTTATAATTTAAGAGTGTGTTTGTTTCAAGGTTTCAAAAATTATTCTGGGAATGTGACAATGAGATTCTCATGGTTGATTCAAGTTTTAAAAAATCATTTCAAGGAATTTTTTATTTCAAAGAATATTATTTATTGATAGATTCTCTATTCTTATTCTAAGGTATAAGGGGCGAGAATGAGAATAAATTGAACTAACTCTAATTTCCCCACTATCACTTCTATTTACTATTATTTTTTTATTTTTTTATAATTTAAAATTAAACAAATTTTATAATTTTTCTTAGGAACCTAAATTCTTACCAAAAATACATGGATTGGAATAATATTTCCAAGAATAATAATCTTAGAAATATTATTACAAGAAATAAAATTTTCAACCATGAAACAAACACACCCTAGTAATAATAAAGATGTATTCAAAAGAATATAAGAGATATAATATAATTTTTTTTTGAAAACTATTTAATTTATGATTTAAAATATGATAATGATCAAAGTTAATTTTAAAGGATATTGAAAATATTATTACAACATAATAATTTTTTATTCAATAATAAAAAAGGATTAAATATACAATAAAAAAATAATTTTTATAATCTAATAATAATAATAAGATGTATTCAAATGAATATAAGACATACAATATAAATTTTTTTTGAAAATTATTTAATTTATGATTTAAAATATAATAATGATCAAAGTTAATTTTAAAGGATATTGAAAATATTATTACAACATTATAATTTTTTATTCAATAATAGAAAAGGACTAAATATACAATAAAAAATTAAATGTTTGTGAATTTTATAAAAATGAGCTATTTTTATAGGCCTAGTTCAATAAATATAAATCGACTAAATCCACCCGATTTATTTACTAAATCGATTTAACCGAATTTGTTAAAAACTTAAATTTTTTTGGTCGAAATCGAGCCTTAAAAATAAAACCGTAGTTTGCATCAGATTTAAGTTTTAGATTCAAAATCGATCCGAACCGACCGATTGTCCGGTTTTAAGTGCACGTTCTCCCATGCAGTATGCACTATGTGGTTTGTTCTCCCATTCATTGAATATCTAAAGATATGTCTTTGTAAAGTTTAAGATGGCCATTTTACTGTGAATGTGAAAGTGTCAGGGGTAACCCCTATAATGGATATACAATGAAGTTTTTAGAGGCTAAACACTCGTACAAACCACCTCATTCCTTGCTGATCACCTTGTCATTTGAAACTCCTCTAGTGGCTAAAGTTGATAATATCTTCAAGTGCATTAAATCATTTCTCAAAGGGACATCGTGTGGTAGAGATGTTTTGCGATCACATCATATACTAAACACATTGTAGGAGAAAGTTATGTTGTGTCAAGAGATTTTTTATGTGCAACCACTTTAATTGTTAATTTATGGCTTGGAGGAAGATGCTTGACTGAGTTTGTTGCCTTTGCATCCTTGATGTCGTTATTAAAACCTGATGGTGGGATAAAATCCATTACTTTGGGTTCTATTTAGAAGTTGTTGGTATCCATAATTGCTATAAAATGGATCAGTAAAAATGTGACACAATATCTCAATAACTTCTAGTTTGAGGTCGGCGTATCGGGTGGGGCTGAGGCTATTTTGCACAGTGCCAACATAGTGTTAAGAAAGCAACATAGAGATGGTTCTTTGGCTATGCTCATAGTAGATTTCACAAATGCTTTAAACTTGATAAATCGTTCAAACATATTGCGCGAGGTGATGGTGAAATGCGCATCTATTTTGATTCTGCACGAGTATCGCTAAACTCTTTTTTAACTTAAAAACGTGTCAATATAATCATATGGAGGAAGCAACTACTTAATTTGATAAAAAGTTATGAAGGGTGGTTGAAAACATCATGTTTGATGAAGGCCCTTCAATGAAAATATACTTCTTTACCTATTAGAGTCGGGGAATTGAGTTTGTACTCGACAATAGAGATTACCGCATATGATTTTGTCATTTCTACCACCTAATCTTGAGTGTTACAAGATCATATATTGAAAGGAACTTGGATATATGGTATGAACTTTGATTATGGAAAAGTTTTTGATGGTCTTAGTGTTGCGATTCTAGATTTTGACCTTAGCAATTTTAGTAGTTAGGACATTTTTCTTTCTAAAGCACAATATGTTTTGTCGAGTGCCCTTTTTAGTGAAAGCATTTAAAATATGAGCGTAAAGTTTGACATAACCACAAGACAAAAAGAAAATTTTGGTTGTTTACAAGCAACATATGCTCAAGATTTTCTCTTTGTTATTTCTATTGATAGACTAGGCCAACATATGTCATCAGTATAATACCTCACTATTTTTAGATATCGCCTTATGATTTCCTAATTTTGTATTAATGAGGTTTTTCCAGTGTGTCGCAAGACATGTTTGGATACATTTGGGAAACACACGATTCATTGTATACAAATTTTAGGCTTTAAATACCGACATGACTTTGTTAGAAATTTCTTATTTGGTATATTTTGGCAGACCGAAGTATTTGTGAAGAAAGAGGCGCTTGTTTTGAATTTCTTGATTGAACCATAAGAGGGGGGACTGATACTTAGATCAGAAGATGTTTTGATGTACGGATGAGTATAAGGAAACATGCATTTATAGACTTAATTGACACAATTATTTTATTTTGTTTGAATGGATTAAAATATTCTAAACATGTGAAAATATTGGAGAATGAATCTAGGCTCTGTTTGACATTACATATTTGATCTTATATCTTATAAGTTCATATGACAATAAAATACATATTTGATAATAGTTTTTTCATCACGATTATATAACTTATTTGATTAGTTTATAGTTTATTCTTTAGATGTTATTTTAAATAGTGTTTACCTTATTGTTTATCATTTTTTCTTCCACTTTTATCTTTATTATTTAATTAAAATTCACTTTTATCTTTTATAATTTATTTTAATTTAAAATAAAACAATCGTATTAAAGAAAAAAAATTATATTATTTTATATTTATTAATTAATTAAATCATTAATTTTATTAAATACTTCAATTAGTTTATAACTATCAATTATTGATCATCAACTATAAACTATAGATAATTAACAGTCCAAAAATAACTGGAGAATAAGTTTAGTAAAAAAAATAATTGAAGAGTGAAAATTTAAAGCAAAAATAAAACCTATTTATTTTCTAAGTAATAGGTTTATCACAACTATATAAATTATAGCTATAAAATAAAACTGTATTTCACGTTGTGATTTATACTATTTAAATATATCAACTTTATCCTGATAATACAAAATATACATATATCAACTCAATTGTGTATAGGTCATTAGTTTGATATGAGTGTGTGAATCTCTAACTAAAAATGCCTTTTGATATTCAACATTCCTGATGTATTAGTCAAACTTGAGGTGAAACAAAAAGAACATTGAATAATACATGACCATAATTGTTGTTGGATTACTCATAATTGCTGTTGGATTACTCATTAGTAGATGCGTTTATGACTCTCTAACTGAGAAGTCTTGTGAAACATAACTTTCCAAATGCATAAAGGTTGGACAATTTCAGATGTTCACATAAATCTTTCATCCTTAATCTAACACAACCTTCCAACATACTATCCAACAAAATAGGATATAGGGAGTATAATAGAATTTATAATATTAATTATTAGTATTATTATTTAGACTCTAGTTGTATTTGAATTTTTAGTTTTATTATTTATTATTGATGTTATATAATATAGTGTCTTTTACATATTGAGAAATCAACGAAATCAATGAAAGTTTTTATTTTCATGGAAAAAATTAACATGTGTCTCAAGGGCATAATTTAATTAACTATTTGTAAAAACATTCTTTTGGAATTCGTGATTTTGAAACTTTAAATATGATTTTATTACATTTAATTACATTTAAATTTTTTTAATTATAGTATCTTTATCATGTTAGTATGACTCTATTTTTATTAGTTTATCTTCTTCATAGTTTAGAATTTTCAGCTTCTATTAGTTGTTGTTAGGATTTTAATTTAGCATCCTTTTCATTTTTGAACATCAAAACATCTCCTATGACA